TAATGGTAAAAAAAAAGTGAGACTGCACGTATGTAAGTGCGCACATGTGAAAACATATCGTCATTACTCTACATAAGAATATGAAAGCAACACTTATTTACTGCTCATATATATTAAAGGGTTAAATGTTGTACTCTGTATAGACAAGCAGAGGGAGAGAGAGAGAGAGCAGCCGAACTGCCGGATGTAAACAAACCTTAATTTCCCGCGGCTTTGTTGTTGGTTTTTTTTACGGGGATTAGCCCACCCGGGCACAAGTCACTGACCCACATTGGGGCCTGAGGGGCAAAAATTTAATACTCCTGTAATAATAATAATAATTCAGATAAGAAAAAAAAAAAAAAAAACGCCTATCTACCTATTGGACAAACTAAAATCGTTCCGGACCACGGGAGTTTCCGGAACACAGAACGCCAGACTAGAGAGGTACAACCTGTACTATAATGTACTCAAAAACAGACAATGCTCACTCAGCTGACTGTAATCTTGTCTTTACACTTGCGATGGAGGTTGGGTGTGAGATTACTGGGTCATGTTATTGACCTGATCTGATGCAATATTAGGTCATCTATAGTAGGGATGGGGGATTAGTGGGTCTTATGCCCTGATGTCTTGAATAAAGATGAAAGGGAAGGTGCTCCAGTGTTTCCCACTTACTGAAAGTACAGTACGGTATATATATATATATATATTGCTTCTTCTCTCCCTATTCAGATCAAAATTAATCTGTCGTGGTGAACAAATTTGGAAAATCTAATCGGTTCATCTCCCCGGGTTCCCCCTCAAACAGACTTGGTCGTTTGTACGGAAGTGTTCGAGATAGGATGAGGATACCATTCCTCAAAAGGAGAGTTCCGTCAAGGGAAGTGGAGCAACTCCCTTTGGGACAAACACATAAATGTAAAAGAATTAGCAGTAGTCCTATTCTTTTTGTTGGCAAACCCAAATTTCAAAAACATGACATTTCTGTTTGCCATGGACAACAGAGCGGCAGTGTTTTGTCTCAATCATCAAGGCTCAACCAGATCTTGTCCCCTTCTCACACTGTAAAAAAAAAAAAAATAAATAAAAAATGTCAAAGTTTGTGTAACACAAACACTACCTCAAAGCAACTCACTTAATGGGAGTACAAAACAATTGGGCAGATGTGTTGTCCCGCCTCAGGCCAGTATCGACGGAAACAGAATGGTCCCTAAAGCTATCGAAGTTCAAGAGTCTAATCAAAAGATGCCAACTTAAGCATCTCTGGAATGATCAATTCTCTTAGGAAATGCTCTACTCATAGATTGGAACCGTTGGAATTCAATCTATCTGTTCCCACCTGTGAAAATGTTGCCCAAAGTGGTTCACAAACTCAGATCCTTCCAGGGAAAGGTCCTCTTAATTGTACCATATTGGATCCTACAACCGTGGTGTCTGGATCTGTTGGACTGGTGTCCGCATCCACTGCAATTGCAATAAGGATGTCTAGACCAGGTACTGCACCCTCAGTTCGAGATATCCTTGGCTCTTTACGCTTGGAGTTTCTCAAAGGATGTTTAATAGATTGTTGGGTAATTCCAAGTGATAGCAGGTCATAGACCACAAACTTCTATGCAATATGAGAAAGCTTGGAAACTTTTTCAACAATTTATCAGGTAAACGACTCCAATCACATTGTCGGAAACAGTGGTGTTAGAATTTTCGGATTTTCTGTTCAGAGTTAAAGGCCTTCAAGGATCTACAATTGCATCTTATAAATCAGCATTGGTTGACCCTCTGGCTTGGGGTTTTAATATTACTTTGAAACCAAGAATTTATCAAATGCTCAGATCGTCCTTTTTCATTCAGAGACCTCCTCGGCCTAAGAGAATCCCACCTTGGTCTCTAGATAAAGTTACTAAATTTTTTATGGGGCCTAATTACAATATAATTCTGAACCGGGACAGATGGCTCCAGAAGGTAGCTTTCGTTCTAGCAATAGCAACAGGTATGAGAATTAGTGAGCTGATTTCAATTTTCAATAATCCATCATTAATGGTATTTTCTGAGGAAGATGTCACCCTTTTTCCTACGGAGATTCTAAGAAAAAATGAAAAGGAAGATTTTAAGCTCAACCTATCAGGATAAAACTGCTAATGAATGAGACAAGGGTTCCTCATATATTGTACCCAGTTAAGATTCTTCAAGAATGGTCAACCAGATTCCCTAATCGAGGCCCCTGTGTATTCTCATCACAAGATGGTAAGAAATTGTCTCCTAGTCAAATGACAAAATATTTTTCTCACTTAGTGAGTCAAGCAGACCCTGGCAAAAAAAATTTGGCACATGACACCAGGAAATATGCAGGGTCTGTGGTCTTTCTGCGGCATATGAGCCTCAGTCAGATCAAAGAAGTGGGGTTTTGGAAATCTTCAAAACCTTTCAAAACAGCTATCTTCATCTATCTCTGAAAGATGCTTCACATGTGATGGTGCTGGGGTCCCCTCCCCCACCTAGATAATCTCCACAACCAGGACCTTCTTCTTCCTCATCAGAATAAAGTGAGTATCCTAATTGGGATATGTAAATTAACATTTTACCTTCCGGTAAATGTTCCTAATATTGGAAATTATTCCCAAAAGTTTATACAGTGGTCCCTCGGTTAACGAACGCCTCGGTTAACGAAATTTCGGTTCATGAATTACCTTCCATAAGAATCTTCATTTCAGTTAACGAACATAAATTTTGTTAACAAAATTCTAAGGAAAATGTTTCGACATGCTTTGGCTTGCTCACCAGCTGGAAGATTAGTCCGCCAATACGGAAATCGGTTCTAGGGCTTACATTCGTTAAAATTGGAGTAAATATCAAGAAAGTTGTACTATTCAATAATTGTCCAAGTTTTATATTAAAATTATTATTCATTTTAACACCTATTTAACATAATTGCAGTACAGGGAACTTGTTTTTGGTGCGCCCATCAGCCACTTCACTCACCCACCAAGGCCTCAGTTTGTATCTCTGTTCATTGGAGGAAACATCTTGCTTGTGGGTGTCTTGAACACAGAGTATTTTTGCATTTTTACAGTACAACTATTGATCATTCTGAAATTTATTTAACATATTGACAATATATAGTGCAGTGCAGTGTTGATTTAAGGAAAACAATCTTGAATTACATCTAGTGAACTTATAAATTCTATGGGTGAAATGATGGCATCAAACATGGGGTGATTTCTCTTCCACCCCCACTTCCTTCTCTTCTCCCTTCTCCTCCACCCCACTTCTAATTCCCATCATCATCATCACCAACCAGGAGCCATCTACATACGCACCTCAAATTAAGTGTACTTTACCGCATGTTTTTGTTTTTTTTTACTTTGTATGTAATTTTCGGTGAGCTGGAACCAATTACCCAAAATCCCATTGAAACAATGGTGTCAGTTAACGAAATTTTCGGTTAACGAACGATCTTCTGGAACGAATTGTGTTCGTTAACCGAGGGACCACTGTAATTATAATCTGGACCTAAGCTAGCGGAGCCTTATACGCAATGTCACCTCCCTGTCCACCTCCTGCTCGGGTAATCAAAGCTAGACGTTGCATTCTGGATTGAGCAAAAAACGTTTAATATTACTTATTAAGTAATTATTAGATGTTTTAATTGCCTGTATGTTGGCCTGGTGAATTGGCTAGGAATTAACATACCTAGGTAGCATTTGCTGAAGTCACATTCGAGCTATATCACAAAAACTGGTTTTTATAAAAAAAAGTCTTTTTCTAAAAAAAAGTTTTTGTGATATAGTCCAGAATGTGACGTTGATGTCCCACCCATCTCCCCTCTCGAGTGTTGACAACTGTTTACTGCTCGCTTTAGGGCAAGAGATGACGGTAGCAATGCATGTGATGGGGGGGGTGTGGGAGGGGGTTTTGAGAATTGCAATTAAATGCCAGGTAGCGACGTGTCCTCCTAATATTACGTATTTAAATAATTATTAGAGGTTTTAATTGCTTGTATGTTGGCCTGGCGAGTTAATGCTAGGCATTTACTGTACATACCTAGGTATAAAGCTAGATGTCGCATTCTGGACTACATCACCAAAACTGGTTTTTAAAAAAAAAAATGTTTTTTCTTGATTTACCACCCTCTGCACCAGGGAGGGGGGGAGGGGAAGGGGAGGGAGGGGAGGGGGGTACTGCCAGCAGCACCCTAACTCGGGGCTTAAGGGTTAAACAAATGTATTCAGTTTTCATTGGGCACACTTTGGAAGTAATTCTATTATTATGCTATTACTGTATTCATTTTATTTTATAAAGGAACCATATGAATGGTCAGTTGATATGATAACCTGACAGGGTCCACAATGCCCACCTCATCATATTTGACCATAATGATCAAGACTACAACAGCAGCTTAACTTACCCCACGTAGCTGGACTCTCCATATCTAAGTGGAAATAAGAGAAAATGTTTCCTATTGAATTGTGTTGTCACTGAGGGCAGAAAGTTCACTGTGGTTTCCCTTGGTACACTTCACTCTGTCTTCACTATGCCTGTCACCACTATAGTCAGCCCTAAACCTTCACAAGATTCGCTAGCTTTAAACGTCCAACAGAGTTTCTTGTTTCTGAAGACCTGCCTCCCAGTAATCTATCCCTTAAATTCTTCTTCTCTATCACACTACAGTAAAGGATCACAACCATTACTTCACTGACCACTTAAGCTACAAAAAAGATTGACAGTTGGCAGTTAGCAGTCATAATGTCATACACTACTGTAGTACTGTAAGAGTGTGCTATTCCTGTGTCATCATCATCATTGTTTTAAGGCCATTTTCCATGCAACTGTGTAACAGTTCAATCTCTCATTCTTTTCAAATGACAATACAGTAATCTGCAAGCCACATGTCAAACATCCAATAAAGTGTTAGAATATAAATCATGTGTACAGTATTTATAGATAAAAAACAATCTTAAAATACCTTAATAATTATTATAAACTGTTCATTCAGTTCAACTGATGATAATCTAAAGTCAAACCTTGGACACTCTCTCCAAAGTGTGAGAAAACAGGAGACTTGGTTACAGATTCTATGCGCTTGAGCTGCCTTGTGGTGGATATGTAGACAATCAGGATGAAGTAGTAGAGCACCATAATAGGACCAATGACTATGGCAACCAATGGGGTCGATACCACAATCACAATCAGTGTTGCTACAACCTATAAGACAAATATAAGCCAGTAAATCAATAAGGAAATACTTGGAGAATAAGTTGAAGATGAGTAACTTGGGAGAGAAGAAAAAAGATGGTGAGAAATATTGCGAGCAACACAAACATCACTGGACACTGAAGGTATTATAGTAACAGAGAACAGACCGAACATCTGGCTGGCTAGTAAGATGACAAATAATGAAAACTAAAAAATATTTATATTTAAAGAAACATGAAGGAAAAGGACAACAAAGGGTAAAAGGGGGAAGGGACAAGGTGAGGAGAGCAAGAGGAGGAAAACAGAAGAGGGAAGAGGAATTTAATGAGTATATGGTATAAATCTAGCAGACAGTGAGAACCTCTTCACTACAAATGTGTTAAGATCTCACCTGTGCTAAGAGTATTAAGGAGTTAGATATAAGGAGGGGCAGCACACTATCAAGGACGTCTATATCCTTACTGAGGCGGTTCATGATACGCCCACTTGGATTAGTATCAAAAAAGCTCATTGGCAGATGTAAGACTCTCTTAAGGAGTCTCTGATGAATGTCTTTCCCTGCTCTCATGCAGCCAATCCACAGCATAACTGATCCAAAGTAGAACAACACAGCTGCAGAGGAAAATAACAGATACAAAGTTATGTTTATAATTTTTTTTTAACTGTACCTTGATAACAATGTACACTGTTAGTGGTTCATGTTATATGGTCAGCTAAATCAACATGGTTAAAACTCAGATCAATCCCTCAAAATAGTGGTTGACACTAATCAAGGGTTTAATTTCACCTTCCACTTGAAAGGTCGCCTTAGAAATAGAAGTTGTCATTTAAAGCATATATATATATATATAAATGAACTCTACAGCCACATTAGCATCACTCCACTTCTTTACACAACAACAACAAACAGTTCCAAAAATGGTTGATGGAATTTCAAACACAGGGACACTTTTGTGTCTGATTCTTCCTTTATGTTACTTGTTTAAGCTGGACATTCAAAGAGAGGACTTTTTGTGGTTCAATATGAAGAAAAAATTAAACTTACTCAACGATTTCACTTTTAACCTGTTAATCTTTTTTTGTTTCACTTCTGATTACTTCTTGTGGATATTTTTAGTATCAGGACTAGTGTCAGGGAGACCATCTTAGTAGGAAAGCTTTTGATTTTGTACACTGATCATAAAAACACCACCTAGGATGTGAAAAATATTTAAGTCAGTCAATTAGTGAAAAATTCTCAGGCTTGTACAGCAAAATATACACCTTATAATGTACAGTCATGGTCAAAGGTAATAATCCACCCCTCCAACTACTATAACCGCAAGCTCGAGGCCTTTCTACACAACTGGTCACAGGAGGGTGGGGGAGAGCTAGGGGTGGCTGACCCAGGTAAAGTAGAAGGGTGTAAGTCCAGTGTCACATATGTAATGAGAATGTATGTGGACTTCAAATTATCTGTAACACCTGAAGAATGTGTGATGGTTGGCGGATGTAGCTTGACGTTGATGGCCTTAATGACCCTGGAGGTTGATAGGCCTAAAGCTCAAACAACCAACCAACCATGAGGGCTAATGTCCAGGGAGGTGTCATATGGACTTAACTTTCCATTAGTTATCTATGCCTTTACTTGAGATTCTGGTGAGAAATGTAAGTGAGTCTTTGGCAGGTAATGTGTCATTAGGGATAATAAGGTGTCTGGCTTCTGTGAGGGAAAGCCCCTCATATAGCAGAGACGTGACTGATCGCCCAAGCAGCTAACGAGCCAATCAGTGGTGAAGAGGATAAAAGTAAGAGCAAAAAAAGAAAGGAGGGGGTGCAGCTTGCTCACCACTGTAGTATCTTGCGTTATTTAATGGGAGAATGACGAGTCACATGGTCTGTCTGGCTGGGGCATTTATTCTCTGTTCTTGGTTACAACGTGCCTAACACATTTCGTGTTTACTCAAGCCTAAACACTTTCTGACTTTGGTAAGAAGTAACATAATATATAATATATATATTCAATAAAGGCAGCATATAAACATACATATATATAACAACCACCAGTAACAACACTAAACGAGGCTGTTAGTTGACCACTTCCACCTCGCTACTACCATTTTTGAAAACCTCCCACTACAGTAGAATGCCGATTTAAAGCGATTCAATTAAAGATTGTTGATTTAAAGCGATTCAATTTAAGATAGATTTAAAGCAACACCCACAATTAAGGATAATATTTTAATTTAAGGAGAATCTTTCCTATTTTGCGTGAATCAATCTGGCGTATCATATTTTAAAATTCGCGCCTAATGTACTCAAAATAATTTACTAAATGATTACTAAAATTTTTGTCTAGTGCAAAGTAGAGCATGATTATATAAAAATTAATTGCTATCTAATAAGAATTCCAGCAATGTTAATTATATTCTCCCAGGTCAGTTTAGTGGCATTTTATAAGAGAAAAACTTAATCACTCTTTAGGACAGATAAATAAATAAGCACTAGACCTTGGCATCAACATATCACCTCACCTCACCTCCCCCCCCCCATCTTCCCATCAGCTGATTGCTAGTAAACAGACCATTTCACGTCCCATAATTTTAGCTGTGTTGATTTATGAGTGTTTGTTTTAACATAATACTACAGAAAACAATGTTTTGTTTATTCTAGGAGATGGGATGAGGTGCATCTGGGTAGGCTGTCAGTCTTTTTAGCATTTTGTGTTTCTCTCAAGTACCAAACTAAATTATTCCATTGAAACAACACTTCGATTTAGTGCGAATTCGGTTTAAAGTGATCTCTCTTGGAACATACCTCGTGTTATATCGACTGTATTAATTGATAACAAAAATCAGAATGAATCGTTGGATAGAATGTGACTTGTCCACCCTATAATATGTTTATTAGAGTTGTAAAAATCAATGTGAGGTGGCAGTGACAATGGTGTTTGGCCACTGTTCCACACCCAGCCCATGATGGACGTTAAGGAAAGTTGACTGGTGAGTTGCGGTCAAATCATTGGTTTGCCTGGCTGGCTACAACATGTCATGTCAGAAATTGCAAGGGAGGTTGGGGTCACTGTGAGATGCTGGTTAACCCACTGAGAGGAGCCTGGGAACTTGGGCAACTGGCCGCCGTGAGTATTTTTGATGGTTTGCTTGCATTTGATATATCAAAATAACTAATTTTTTGTGTGTAAGTAAAACATATTTGAACTCTTAATTCATATAAATTATATAAATTTAGGCCGGGGAGACCATGTTTGACAGGCAAGGAAGACAATGGATGGCTACTGAGATTCTGTATGCCTTGTGTTAGTAAACATTAAAAATAAATATAATTTCCACCTTTGTATTCAAAATTTCTCCTCATATCAATAAACATAATTATAAATATCTAATTACCGTTGTTTAAAACTTAACCACAACCTGACAAAAATGATAAATAAGGAAAAGAATGGCACATTACAATACAGGTGTAATCATAAAATAAGGGTCCTCATTTATTACTCTTTCAAGCATGTAAACCAAAGATAATACTATAGTGGGAAAAAAGAATCTTACATCCATCCTTCCCTTCCTTCCATTCATGAATTTCACAGCTTTCTTCAATCCCTTCCTTTTCTGATGATCAATCTGCATCGCATACCACCCTCCTACACCCCGCCCCCAAGTTAACCATTCCCCCTCTCCACCTCAAGTGACTTACCGTGCAGAAGGGACCAGGCCATGTACAGGGATTAGGTGGACGTGTGGATTACTGTGACTGTACATCAGTTCATGTTGCCTCTATGCATTTTATAGTTTATGGATTTTGTTTTACCTGCACAGCTAATAAAAATTTGGACTCCTCTGCAACACTGAATCAAAGTGCATTTGACAGTTTGGAGCTGGTGTTGACAAGCTGAACCACTGCTTTATGACAAACTGTGTACAGTAGGAGACAGGAATGTTAGATCTGGCATAATGTAACGGAGAAGGGTGTTACAATGATGGGGTACAATGGTGTGTGTTTGTGTATGATGTTACATGGGGTGTGTGTGTGTGGGGGGGGGTGTGTGTGTGTGTGTGTGTGTGTAAGTGTATGATGTTACATGGGGTGTGTGTGTGTATGAGTGTGTGTGTGTGTGTGTGTGTGTATAGAGTGTGTGTGGTGTGTGTGTATGGTGTGTGTATATACTTGGGGGTATGTGTGTGTGTGTGTGTGTGTGTGACTGGGTATGTGTTTGTGTGTGTAGGTGTATGATGTTACATTGTGTGTGTGTATGTGTGTGTATGATGTTACATGAGGTGTGTGTGTGTGTGTGTGTGTGTGTGTGTGTGTGTGTGTGTGTGTGTGTGTGTGTGTGTGTCTGTGTGTGTGTGTGTGTGTGTGTGTGTTGTGTGTGTGGGTTTGTGTGTATGATGTTACATGAGGTGTGTGTGTGTGTGTGTGTGTGTGTGTGTGTGTGTGTGTGTGTGTGTGTGTGTGTGTGTGATGTTACGGGGGTTTGTGTGTATGATGTTACATGGGGTGTGTGTGTGTGTGTGTGTGTGTGTGTGTGTGTGTGTGTGTGTGTGTGTGTGTGTGTGTGTGTGTGTGTGTGTGTGTGTGTGTGTGTGTGTGTGTTATGTGGGTGTGTGTGTGTGTGTGATGTTACATGAGTGTGTGTGTGTGTGTGTGTGTGTGTGTGTGTGTGTGTGTGTGTTACATGGGGTTTGTGTGTATGATGTACATGGGGTGTGTGTGTGTGTGTGTGTGTGTGTCTGTGTGTGTGTGTGTGTGTGTGTGTGTGTGTGTGTGTGTGATGTTACATGTGGGGTTTGTGTGATGTACATAGGGTGTGTGTGTGTGTGTGTGTGTGTGTGTGTGTGTGTGTGTGTGTGATGTTACATGGGGTTTGTGTGTATGATGTTACATAGGTGTGTGTGTGTGTGTGTGTGTGTGTGTGTGTGTGTGTGTGTGTGTGTGTGTGATGTTACATGGGTGTGTGTGTGTGTGTGTGTGTGTGTGTGTGTGTGTGTGTGTGTGTGTGTGTGTGTGTGTATGATGTTACAGGGGTGTGTGTGTGTGTGTGTGTGTGTGTGTGTGTGTGTGTGTGTGTGTGTGTGTGTGTGTGTGTGTGTGGTTTGTGGTGTGTTGTGTGTTACATGGGGTGTGTGTGTGTGTGTGTGTGTGTGTGTGTGTGTGTGTGTGTGTGTGTGTGTGTGTGGTGTTCATGGGGTGTGTGTGTGTGTATGATGTTGGTGTGTGTGTGTGTGATGTTTCATGGGGGTTTGTGTGTATGATGTTACATAGGGTGTGTGTGTGTGTGTGTGTGTGTGTGTGTGTGTGTGTGTGATGTTATGGGGGTTTGTGTGTATGATGTTACATGGGGTGTGTGTGTGTGTGTGTGTGTGTGTGTGTGTGTGTGTGTGTGTGTGTGTGTGTGTGTGTGTGTGATGTTACATGGGGGTTTGTGTGTATGATGTTACATGGGGTGTGTGTGTGTGTGTGTGTGTGTGTGTGTGTGTGTGTGTGTGTGTGTGTGTGTGTGTGTGTGATGTTACATGGGGGGTTTGTGTATGTGTATGGGGTGTGTGTGTGTGTGTGTGTGTGTGTGTGTGTGTGTGATGTTACAGGGGGGTTTGTGTGTATGATGTTACATGAGG